TTCTTCCTCTGCGCCAATCTCCATCGTCTTGTACTTTTCCACAAAGCTTCCAGTCCGAAAAGAGAAAACTCAAACGAATATCCGAAACTCGTTTCCACCTCCATATCCGCCGACGAAGCGGGGTTGCAACAAGAGAACTCTTATCCGCACACGTATTGAAACCCTTCGTTCAATATCTCGGACTGAGGAACCCGGACAACGTCTTCGACAATAGACAACGTCTTCCAAACAATCCAAAGAGACACCCAACGAATAAAGGACTCGGAGACACGGCGGAGAGCCGTCTCCGGACAAACCCTAGACCAGCCCAGGCAGCGGTTCTAGAGAGAGAAATATCTTGAAAAGGGAGGGGTTAAAAACTACGTATTATTCCGTATGTTGGAAACTTGGAATCCTACTTAAATGTCAATGTTTAAATAACTTTTTTTTGATCGTACGTTTAAAAAACTTTTTAAAAGCTATAACTTTTTATTTAAAAAATAAAATCCCATGTTTATTTTAAAGTACTATAATTTTTTTATTTGTACCCTGATTGTTACAAAAAATATATCAAAAGTCTTAACTTTTTATTATCTTTCAAATGACACCGATATTGAATATACAAAAATTAAAAAATAATTTAACACTTTAAAAAATATTTGTGTTTTTACAGTGATATATCTTTTTGATTAGTAATATGATTGTTAAAAAACAATAAAAAAATCATAACCTTTTGTATTCTCTCATATGAAACTAATGTTGCATATATAAAAATAGTGGGAGTATCATTTTTTATATAAAAAGAATTTATTTATAATATAAGAAGAATTTGAGAACGAATCATTTAATATAATTTGAAAAAAAGCCTCAATAGTCTATTTATTAGTCTTATCATTCTAAATTAAACAAAAAGATTTGCAAATAAAAGTGCTAATGCAACAACGAATCCATAAATTGTTAAAGCTTCCATAAAAGTTAGATATTCTTTGAATAAATAGTTTTATTAAAAAAAGTTTTTATTAATTTTTGCAATTTGTGATCAATTTTGACAGTGCACATAATTAACCAAGAATGATAATTTAGAATAAAATTGCACAAACACCATCCATTTTTTATTGTTTTATTCTTTGAGCTAAAATTTGTACAATTTTTATTCTAAACTATCACTCTGATTAATAGTGTGTATGATAAAAAATGATCATAAACTGCACAAATGAATAGATTTGTTTTTTATATGCAACATTGGTTTCATATGAAAAATAATAAAAAGTAAAGAATTTGGTATATTCAGTATAAAAAAGTTACACTATGTAGCACTTTTAGAAAACAAATGTTATTTTAAAGTGTTTATTTTTTATATACAAAAATAATATTTGTGTTTTTACAGTGATATATCTTTTTGATTAGTAATATGATTGTTAAAAAACAATAAAAAAATCATAACCTTTTGTATTCTCTCATATGAAACTAATGTTGCATATATAAAAATAGTGGGAGTATTATTTTTTATATAAAAAGAATTTATTTATAATATAAGAAGAATTTGAGAACGAATCATTTAATATAATTTGAAAAAAAGCCTCAATAGTCTATTTATTAGTCTTATCATTCTAAATTAAACAAAAAGATTTGCAAATAAAAGTGCTAATGCAACAACGAATCCATAAATTGTTAAAGCTTCCATAAAAGTTAGATATTCTTTGAATAAATAGTTTTATTAAAAAAAATTTTTTATTAATTTTTGCAATTTGGGATCAATTTTGACAGTGCACATTATTAACCAAGAATGATAATTTAGAATAAAATTGCACAAACACCATCCATTTTTTATTGTTTTATTCTTTGAGCTAAAATTTGTACAATTTTTATTCTAAACTATCACTCTGATTAATAGTGTGTATGATAAAAAATGATCATAAACTGCACAAATGAATAGATTTGTTTTTTATATGCAACATTGGTTTCATATGAAAAATAATAAAAAGTAAAGAATTTGGTATATTCAGTATAAAAAAGTTACACTATGTAGCACTTTTAGAAAACAAATGTTATTTTAAAGTGTTGATTTTTTTAATATTTTTTATATATTCAAAATTGGTGTCATTAAAAATAATAAAAAGTCATGAAATTGATAGACGTGTTTAATACCCGCAAATCACCAACTTCTCAATGAGATAATTGAGCTAGAATAGAATTGTCTAGCCTATGGTATTCATTTTCCGATTTTTAAATTACACCCATACAACTTTAATAATATCATTATACTAGAAAACTCAAATTTTTATAAAATAGTGTATGCATACAGAGAGAGCAAGTTTACATGCATAACTTTACCAGTAACATATCAGTTATATAGACATTCTTTATACTCAATCATCTTAATTAGAAATATAGAACATAATGCAATATTGTAATCCATATGGGGAGGTCTCTGTCGGTGAAGGTGATGGCCTCCACGTGCTGTCACTTCGGCCGAGGGGGAACATGGGACACCTCACCAACGTATAGGGACTGAGCCCATTTTCTCTGTTGGGTAGCCGAGCCCCCCCCCCCCCCCCCCCCCCCCCCGTGTTACCGCCCACTAGGATGTGAATGTGATGCTTCTTCTGGCGGGGTTCCTCCTCGTCGTCTTCGTCCTCGCTGAGGGCGCCAATCTCTCTCTTCTTTCCAGAGGATCCCTCCCCCTTTTTGCCAGGGTTGACCCATGTATTTTTCTTAGTCTATCGATATGTCTCTTCAGAGTGGAGCAGACGTCGGTTTTGTGGGATGTCTGGCGGTGGTACTTGCAGTACGTCCCCCCTTGTGGATTGCAAATATCTCCTCCGCCGATCTGGGGTATTTCACTATAAGGCCCTGATCCTCGGGCATAGTCAAGGATGACACTTACCGGGTGGGTGAGGGGGATCCGTTGTGCCTCCAGCTTCGGGCGCCATGGGCGGTTGACCCTCCGCTGGCCGCCAGACTCCTGGTGCGCCTTTTTGCGCTGGTTCTGGTCCCAATGAGCCGGTGCGTTGGGGGTTGGCCGAAGAGTCATTCTTCCTTGACGGCTTCTCCCCGCCCTTCTTTTGGCTTAGGAGCTCGTCGGTGTCTGCGTGCCTGTCTCCGCGCCGGAGCGCCGCGAGGTATGACCGCGGGGGCTCAGTGAACAGGCTCCGGGCAAAGTGGCTTGGCCGAAGTGCTCCTCGGAGGAAGGCCAAGAGGGTGCGCTCATCGGCCCCCTCACACTCATCCACCTCCCTCGTCCAGCGGTCGAGGAAGGCGCGGAGTGTTTCCTCCGATTGTTGCTTGATGGTGAGGAGGTGAGCGAAATGCTTCTTCATGCGCTTCCTTCCGGCAAAGTGGGTGAGGAAGCGCTGAGCCAGGTCTTGCCATGAGTCTATGCTCCCCTCCGGAAGGTTATTGAACCAATCGTATGCTTCTCCCTCCAGGGTGGAGAGGAACCAGCAGCACATGTATTCCTCCTAAGCATTGGTCATCATCATGTTGTCTTGGTAGTGGGTGAAGTGCTCCTGAGGATCGGTGAGGCCGTCATACGTCTTGATCGGGTTCCCCTTGTATTTTTCAGGGATGGGGGCGGAGAGCACCCTCGCGGAGAAAGGGGTCCTCGTCCGTATCTGGATGACGGGCTCGTCTCGTCTGTAAACCAACTCCCTTTCCAGAGCGCTGACCTTGTTTAGGAGCGCGTCATAGTTTTGTGGTTGGTGTGTATGAGCCGATGCAGCTGCTACAAGTGCTGCGGCCTCCCGGGCCTCCAGGTCGGCCAGGCGTTTCTCCAACCGGACGATCATCTCATCTTTAGGGTCCCTGGGGACCGAAGCGGCACCCTGCAGGGGTTGGACCTGGGCTGCATAGGCCTGGTTGATCTGATGACGTGCGTCATCCTCATGTAATTTTCCTTTTCCTTTGTCCAATCGGGGCCGATTCGTTGTTCGGGAAACGGACGCGAAGCTTTTTTCGGCGAGGCTGGCTCGCGGCCACCCAACCGATCTACCATCCTTCCCGTAGGTACCCGACGGCCCGCGATGTCACCCAGCCTATTGAAGGACGAGGTCTTACCGCGAGGTTGGGCCGGTGTATCCCAGGTAGGAGAGGCAGTATGGGAATGAGTGTCCACGGTGACCACATTTTCGTCGTGACCGAAGAAGGTGACCCCGAGTGGTGGTGGCGGCGGCGGCGGTACCTTCGCAATCTCCCCAGTTGGAGGAGTGTTGTTTTCTCCAGTCTTCGCGACAAGAGCGCTGACCACGTTCGGGTCCTGGAGGATACTGGCGACGATGGCCGATAGAGCAGTCGGGTTGATCTGGGGGGCAACATGGGGCGAGACCTGTTGGCCCGAAGCACGATCAGCGGCACATCTGTCCTCGAGCTCGAGGCGGGCGTCTGGAGCAGTCCTGTTGAGGTGGTTGCAGAGGTCGTGATGTGCTTGTATTTTACACACTTTTTAGGCTTAGTTTGTTAATAATTTTGGTCACTTAATTTGTATATTTGTACATATTTTTATTATTTATCATTACTTTGTACGATGTGTAGTTCTATGCATGTATTTTGTATTTTCAGGTACTTTTGATACTATTTGATACATTTGTGTGTGAAGAAAAGAAGAAAATAAAAGTTCAAGTTGGAGGTCAATAAAAGTGGAATTTCTTTCAAAGCAAATAAGGAGTAAATTGAAGTTAAGAAGCAAAAATATGAAAACACAGAGATGGGATTCGGTCCCTGAACCAGGGGTAGAGGAATGCCATTCAGAACCAATGAACTATCTTGCCAACGTTGTACACAATCAGCCGGCAGTTTATATATTGCTTGTGACCACATCAAAGAAAAAAATGGAACAAAAGTCGGAAGCCCAGAATCGAACCCGCGACCTCTGCTACATGCTTAAACACTTCGTCCGCTGCACTGCTACACATTATTGACACTTGGACGCGTTTTCTTGTACATATACTCTCCGGTTCCGTAAATTCCAGCAATTAATGATTAATCACCTTATCATTATATTGCCTTAATCCATCTCCCTCCACACATAATCTCGAGCCAACTTCTCTCTACACCTCCCAGAATCATTTTCTCCTCCTTCTCTCTTCATTCTTCATCTCCAAATCATCAACCAATCTTCAACATCAATTAATCACTTTCTCAATCAAGATTAAAGTCAAGATTAGCACCAAGCTCCAAGGATTGTCATCTATCACAAGTTTGATCTTCCTTATCTCTTTAAATCTTGTACTTCAATCATGAATTCATCTATTTCTAAGCTTCCCAACATATATAGCTAAATAAATTTGGGGCTAGAAATTGGTTAATTAATTGTTCTTATCATGTTTTAATTTGTATTGATTTTAATTGTTAAGTTTGTTCTATTTAGATTGTTGTGTCCAGAAAATTAATTAAGTTATGTTTGTGATATATATTATGAGTACTCAATCATAAACATATTGTTTGTTAAATACACAAATGAACACTTTCTGAACACCGTTAAACTTCTTTTACCTTGTCCCGGATTGAAGTTTTACGGGAGAATTTAATTATTTAATTATATTATTTACACCACGGGGTTGGGTAAATAATATAGTTAATAATTAAGGTTGTCGTTGCACTTAAACAACTAGTCTCGTTTTGGCCATCACTGGGAAATGTTGACTAGTTACTTATTTTAGATGACTTGTGTTGAGTCCTAAAATATTTATCCACAACTTCTCACAATCTATCTACGAATAAAATTAGCAATTATTTCTTTCAATTAAACATTGAACAATTAGTTACCAATTTCTACCCCTACTTACTATTGGTTGAACTTTGTGTTGATAAAAATCTCTCATCTCAATCACTTTTATTTTATTACTTTTCCAAGCAACCAAAAAAAATCAAAAGAAACGCACTCCCAACTTTAATCCTTAGTTTGTGCTTAATTATTTTATTTCCCGCTTCTCTGTGGTTCGACACCCTACTTCCTTGGGTAAAAAAAATAGTTGTGTGCCCATTATATGCTACACACCAACTTGGCGCCGTTGCCGGGGAAGCGGTTTTGAAAAAAAAAGAGCATGAACTTTTGGTTTTAGTTATTGTAAATTGTGTGTATATTATTTTCTTGTTATCTTGTTTACTTTTGCAGGTTCAAAAAAAAAATCATAAAAAAGTGATTAATTAAAGTTCAAAAAAAAAAAAAAAATTGAACTGTGATTAATTACCTTACCTGAGCATTGGAGTTGGACTTGTTGACTGAACATATATCTGGACATTTGGACCATTGGACATATTGTCACATTTTAATTCAACGGATAATCCGCCTATATGGTCGGACCGCTAATTTGTACATATTAATTCAACGGATAATCCGCCTATATGGTCGGACCGTTTACTTGTACATAATAATATAAAGGATACCCCGCCTACATGGTCGGACCGTTTATTTTCCTTTTTTTGGTGGTTAAAACCCCAACTTTTTAATTTCTACACTTTAATTATCGCAATTTAATTTATGCACTTTAATTATCGCAATTTAATTTCCGCACTTTAATTTCAGCATTTTTTTTTATTTTGCATCCCCAAGCTTGTCGGCCGTGTCCGCTTGTTGGTGGCGTGCACTTTTTATTTTATTTCTTAATAATCCCCAGACTGTCGGCACAGCTGCATCTTGGTGGAGACTGTATTTATTACTGTAGTTATTTTTTTTTCTTCCTCTCAAATCACCATATCTGTCGGCCCTGCCGCATCCTGGTGAATTACTGTATATATTAATACTGCTTTAAGGGCTCACTAGTCTTATTCGGTTTATACCAATTGACTAAGTGCGAACCTTAATTAATTAATTAATTCCACATTTTTTTCTTCTTCTTTTCATCTCTCTCTTTTCCCAATCCCGATTCCCTTCTGCTTATGCTTACACGTTCACGTGGTGCAAATTGTGAATTGTTATTCTTCTCTGACATTGAAAAGCACATACGTGAACAGAAAAAAATAAAAAAAATGTCAAACGATGTTGTTGTAAATGAGCAGGAACCAGATCAACAAATCGTGGATCAGGTTACAAGGACCAGGAAACCGTTGTATGACTATGTTACGCCTCCCGTGGATGAGCATGACAGTGTTATTCCGCCGGAGGTTAACATGAACCAATTTGAAATCAAGCCTGCTATCATCCACATGGTTTCAAATGACCGATTTGGCGGAGCGCCAACGGAGGATCCAAATAATCACATCACAAAGTTCCTTCGAGCTTGCAACACCTTCAAAATCAATGGTGTGCCATCTGATGCTGTCAGACTACGCCTATTCCCATTCTCTCTACGGGATCGAGCTCAGAGTTGGCTTGACTCTTTTCCAGACAATCACTTCTCCACTTGGGATCAACTTCATGGTGAATTTCTCAAAAGATTTTTTCCGCCATCTAAAACGGCGAAAATCCGGAGAATGATTCAAAATTTCAAACAAAATCCCAATGAGCCCCTCTATGAGGCTTGGGAAAGATTCAAAGATCTTCAGCGACAATGTCCACATCACAACATCCAAAACTGGCACTTGATGACGACTTTCTATGAAGGCCTAAGTGAAAATTCTCGGATACTTGTGGACGCGTCCGCAAATGGATCATTCATGTGCCTAGAACTTGAAGAGGCAGAAGAATTGATGGAACGCATTTCATCAAATGGATCAACATGGTATTCTGAGCGATCATCTGCTCCACCAAAAATCGGAGGCATGTACGAAGTTGATCAAATGTCTGCCATAACCACAAAGGTCGATAACATGATGACTCTGATCCAAAAGATGGCACAAGTCTCTCTTGTGCAAAACTCTGCATCAACTCCAACTCCCGTTCCCGTTCTTATGTGTGAATCTTGCGGTGGACAACACAATCAGTCCACTTGTCCATGGGAATCAATGGAACAGGTTGACTATGTCAACTACAACCGACAGCCCCAACAAAATCAGTTTGGTAATTTCAATCCTCAAGGAAGAAACCATCCCGGTTTTTCCTGGAGCAATCAAAATGGAGCTGCTAATCCACAACCATCTTACCGGAGTGCACCACCCGGTTTCCAAAATCAACAACAGCAATTCAGAGGTGGCCAAGGTATTCTGAACCAGCAACAATACAAACCCACTCAAAATCTTCCATACCCTTCAAATCAACAACAAAAACCACTTCTACCCACTCCTGAAACAGCCCAAACTCCTGTCCTAGAAAACATTGTTGACCAACTTCTCAAGTCCCAATTATCTCAAGCCGAAACCCTGAAACAAATCACCGAAGAACTTGGTCAACTTCGGGCTCACAACAGGATGCTTGAGAATCAAATTGCTAATCAAGCATCCACATCATCTACTAAGGTGACGGGTAAGCTCCCTGCTTGTCCTGAAAATCCGAGGGAGCAAATGAATGTCGTCACTACTCGTAGTGGGAAGCAACATCAATCCTTGCCCCTTTCTAGTGATGAACAAGAACATGAAGTGTTGGAGGAAGGGATCGTGCAACAACAGAAAGGTGGAAACAACAACAATGAACATGATGTCGGTACCATGCCGAAATCAACTGATGACCATGAAGGATCAAAGAAACAAAGAGAAAGTCCGATAAGGAGATACATTCCCCCAGTTCCTTATCCGAACAGATTGAAGAAAGCCAATATGGAGGAGCGGAGAACAAAGTTTTTGAATGTTATCAAGCAATTGGATATCTCAATTCCTTTGCTTGATGCCATTACAGAAATTCCTTCATATGCTAAATTTCTCAAAGACATTCTCACAAAGAAGAAGGAGAATCCAGCCACTGTTGCAATGAGTCAAGAATGCAGTGCCATCATCCAAAATAAGATCACACCCAAGTTATGTGATCCTGGAAGCTTCTCAATTCCATGTACCATTGGTGGATCTAAAGTTAACAAAGCTCTTTGTGATCTTGGTGCAAGTGTTAGCTTAATTCCTTATTCATTATGTCAAAAGCTACACTTGGGGGATCCCAAACCAACAACGATGGCATTACAATTGGCTGATCGATCTGTCAAATATCCTATCGGCATTCTTGAAGATGTTCCTGTCAAAATTGACAAGTATTATATCCCAGGAGACTTTGTTGTCTTGGATATGGAAGAAGATGCCCGAGTTCCTGTTATTCTAGGGAGACCTTTTCTAGCTACAGCAGGGGCTATTATCAATGTCAAAAAGGGTACCCTTATCCTTGAGATTGGGGATGATAAGATCGAATTCAATGTACGAGAGCTGAGTAAGGATACACCTTGTGTCCTTGATGGTTACTATGCTGATGTTATAGACTCTTGTATTACAAATACATTTGATGAGTCTTATTGGCTTTCTAAAGATCCAATGGAGTACACCATACGAGAATCTATTGCAGTTGAGCAAGCCAATGAAATGGTAAATTTATGCCTCGAAATGTTGCAAAGCATATCTTTACCGATGCCTAAAGCACTTAAATTTGAAGTGGTTAATCTTGAAGATTAATCCTTGAATGTCAAAGGAAAAGCACCTGAAGTAGAACTCAAACCACTTCCATCTACTTTGAAATATGCTTTTCTTGGTCCAAATTCTACTTATCCAGTCATCGTGAATGCTGATTTAGATCTTCAGCAAGTGGAAAGGTTATTGCAAGTCCTACAGAGCCATCGAAGAGTTATTGGCTACACCATTGATGATATTGTTGGCATAAAGGCATCTTACTGCATGCACCGCATTTACTTGGAGGATGATCATAAACCAAGCATTGAGCACCAAAGGCGTCTCAACCCGAATATGAAAGATGTTGTTAAAAAAGAAATTCTAAAATTGTTGAGTTCAGGTATCATTTTTCCCATTTCGGACAGCAAATGGGTAAGTCCTATCCACGTGGTGCCAAAGAAAGGAGGAATTACTGTTGTGAAGAATGACAAAAATGAACTGATTCCTACCCGAATAGTCACTGGTTGGCGCATGTGCATTGATTACCGCAAACTCAATAAGGCAACTCGAAAAGATCATTTTCCACTTCCTTTTATTGATCAATTGCTGGAGAGGATGGCTAAGCACAAGTATTTCTGTTTTCTTGACGGATTCTCTGGATTCTTCCAAATCCCAATTCATCCGGATGATCAAGAAATGACAACATTTACATGTCCTTATGGTACTTTTGCATATCGCAGAATGCCATTCGGATTATGTAATGCACCTGGAACCTTTCAACGATGTATGCTAGCTATTTTCTCGGATCTTGTCGAGGAAATTATGGAAGTTTTTATGGATGACTTCTCGGTTTACGGGATTTCATTTGATGATTGTCTTGAAAATCTTGAAAAAGTGCTGAGCAAATGTGAAGAAGCAAACCTTATCCTCAACTGGGAAAAATGTCATTTTATGGCAACCGAAGGCATTGTGCTTGGGCACAAAATTTCCGAAAAAGGCATCGAAGTAGACCCAGCAAAAATAGAAGTCATTGAAAAATTGCCTCCTCCTTCCTCCATCAAGGGGATTCGCAGTTTTCTTGGCCATGCAGGATTCTATCGCCGGTTTATTAAAGATTTTTCAAAAATATCAAAGCCCTTAACCAATCTTCTCTCCAAAGATGTGGAGTTTAATTTTGATGAATCTTGCTGCACCGCATTTTCAAAGCTCAAGTTGGCCTTAACTACTGCACCAATCATAAGACCACCTGATTGGAATATTCCATTTGAGCTCATGTGTGATGCGAGCGATTTTGCCGTGGGAGCCATTCTGGGTCAACGCAAAGGCAAAGAAATCTATGCCATTTATTATGCAAGCCATACTCTTGATGATGCCCAATCAAATTATGCCACAACTGAAAAAGAGTTTCTTGCCATAATCTTTGCCATTGAAAAATTCCGATCTTATCTTATCGGAAGCAAGATTATTGTCTATACCGATCATGCGGCTATCAAATACCTCATCAATAAAAAAGATGCAAAACCGAGGTTGCTGCGGTGGATCTTATTACTACAAGAGTTTGACATGGAAATCCGTGATAGAAAAGGATCTGAAAATGTTGTTGCCGATCATTTATCTCGTCTTGAGATTCCTTGTGATATCAAAATGCCAATCAATGATTATTTCATCGGGGAACAACTCATGTCTGCTCAAATTTTCGATCCATGGTTTGCCGATATTGCAAATTACCTTTCTCATGGGGTAATTCCACATGGGGCTACACATGCTGAAAAGAAGAAGTTAAAATATGACTCCCGTTACTACCATTGGGCAGAACCTTTTCTCTATAGAAGGTGTGCCGATGGTGTCATTCGACGGTGTTTGCCCGAAGATGAAGTTTCAAATGTCTTGCATCATTGCCATTCCTCAGCATATGGGGGACATCATGGAAGCTCTCGTACTGCTGCAAAAATTTTACAATCGGGTTTCTTTTGGCCCACTCTTTTCAAAGATGCAAGCAAATTTGTGAAAAACTGTGATCGTTGCCAGCATACTGGCAATATCGGAAGAAAGAATGAAATGCCTCAGCATGGCATACTTGAAGTCGAATTGTTCGACGTATGGGGGCTCGATTTTATGGGGCCATTTCCTAAATCAAATGGGAAAGAGTTCATCCTTGTAGCCGTTGATTATGTTTCTAAATGGGTAGAAGCAGCTGCCACACCGACTAATGATGCCAAAGTGGTGATCCAATTTATTCAGAAGAATATTTTCTCCCGATTCGGAGTTCCAAGATCTTTCATCACCGACAATGGTACTCATTTTCGTAACAAGGCATTGGAACGTGTCCTTTCCAAATATGGGATTCACCACTGACTCTCAACTCCATATCACCCGCAAACAAATGGCCAGGTGGAACTTTCAAACCGAGAAATCAAATCAATTCTCGAGAAAGTTGTTAATCCTTCCCGAAAGGATTGGGCCGACAAGCTTGATGATGCACTATGGGCATACCGCACTGCCTATAAAAATCCCATTGGCACCTCACCATTCAAATTGGTGTATGGGAAAGCCCGTCATCTTCCTGTTGAGGTTGAACACAAAGCATATTGGGCAATCAAGACACTCAACATGGATCTTGCATTGGCGGGTGAGAAACGACTGTTGCAGCTAAATGAACTTGAAGAATTCAGACTTGCAGCTTATGATAGCTCAAAAATATACAAGGAGAGAACAAAAGTTTTGCATGACCAGGTGATCAGTCGGAGAAAATTTGAACGGGGAGATAAAGTTCTTCTATTTAACTCACGTTACAAATTCTTTCCCGGAAAACTAAAAACCCGATGGTTGGGTCCATTTGAAGTACTTGAAGCATTCCCATCTGGAGCAGTTCAGTTGTTAAACAAAAGCGGACAGAAACTCATGGTAAATGGACAACGATTGAAATTATATCATGAAGGTGAGAAACAAGAGGCAGCTTCTGTGTATTGCCTCACTGATCCGAAATATGAATGAAGAGGCATGGGTCAAGCTAATAACCTTAAACGAGCGCTTCTTGGGAGGCAACCCAAGTTTGTAAATTTCTCAAAAAAAAAAAAGTCAAAAAAAAAAAAAGAAAAAAAAAGATTAGTCTAGGTTTTCTTTATTTCTTTGGACTCCAAAGGGGCCACATCCGCTCAAAGGGATCTCCAAACGTCATGCGGATAAACAATTCCAGATTCGGCCGCGCTTCAGGGAAGTTTTCTTTACACTCCTTTAATTTCTTTTCCACTGAGGACAGTGCAAATTTTAAGTGTGGGGGAGTGGGTAGTTCGACCCTGATTTCTTATGTGAATATTTTTTTTCCTTGTGTGCTTGTGTGATTTTGTTTTATTTATTTTGTGTGTTTTGTTTGTGATTAAAGACCAGTCTTGTCCAAAATGCAACAATAGACTAGCAACACACTAGTTTACACTTTTTGTTACTAGTTACCTCCATAACATTTTAAATTATTCATTCACCTCTTTTGATGAAATGTGGTTTGAGTTTGAGAAGTGTCACTGTAATTTTTTGAGAGTAACTTAGTATGAGCTTTGAACTTGATTCTTTTTAACAATTTAACATTACACCTTAGATTTTATTTTTCCAATTTATTGGTTTAATAGTTGAATTAGTGAAAGTTTATGCAGTTTAAGATGTTTATACATTTATTCTCCTTGAAATTTAATTTGAACTTGACACATTAGAAATGATTTAGGCCATCTTTGTTTACCCATCAAGCCAAACACTATCCCTTTGTAAATAAATAACACTTTCCCTAGTAACCCTGTTTGAGCCTTTTCAGTGTACAAGTGTAAAATAACTTACTTCACTTGTTACTAATTTTTCTTGTGACCTTGTTAATACATAACCTTGTGAAATCCTACCCAAGTCATTTTTGTTTCAACCTTAGAGTAGTTTGTATTGTTACCTGAGAGTGGGTAAAATGGAGCTTCTGTTAAGTGCCATATTAGTGATGTACATATTTGTTTGTAAATTTTGGGGTTAGTTTTTCATTGTAATATTTAGTGTGTGCCTTCTTAAAAAAAAGTTCAAAAAAAAAAAGAAAAAAAAAAGAAAAAAAAAAGTAAAAAAAAAAAAACAAGAAAAAAAAAAACAAAAACAAAGAGGCACATTAATTTCTTGTTGTGATTTCTTCTGTAAAACCCCATTTTTACTTCCTTTTCATGTTTATATTTCTCATTGTTTTGTATGCTCCAAGTTCTTGTAAATTCATGTGATTATCCGCTCAGTATAAGTGCAATCTAACTCTCTTTGTAAATCCCTACACCAAACCTTTCTTTCCACTAGCCACATCATTAACCTCGCCAAAACCCGAAAAGTCCTAATTGATCTATTTGTTTCA